CTACTTTCATTTTCCTTCACCGCCACCGCCCCACGATCTCTCCCACCGCCCACCCATCCAAGGCCTCCTCGCCTTATTAATAAATAATTCGAGCCCTCCTGTTTCTCCAAGAATTTGTTCTCCTTCACTTTATCCAGGTAATTCTTCTCTCTAATTCTCTTATGTATCTTTCTGGTGCGTCTCCTTCCTCTTGATTGCTTCTCCAGTTTATAATTGTCTCAATTGTGAATCACAACGAAAATGAAATTATTCCGCCTAAAGTTTGCCACATCTGAATTTCAAGGCATATGTAATTCACATTAGGCACGCCTTTATAACTGACAGTAGGCCTATGTATTATTATTACATAGGGTGTTCTGAACTTCAAAAGGAATTTAGCCCTATGTTGGGCACTTCTCTCTAATTCTCTTATGCCTCTTTCTTGGGCTTACAAAGTCTATTCATTTTGCACCGTCACAAAGAATTCTAAAATTAGGTTTTATTATTGCATCTACGAATTCAGAACCCCTGTAATCCCTCTTCCTGATATCCTTGTATCTCTGCTTTGTTCTCATAGTGATACACTCCAACTTTTCTTTTGGTACCTTAGTACCTTCCTTATCTTGATTTTGTTTAGGTCTCCGTACTTTTTCCTGAAAACCAATATGAGCCTGCTTCTTATTTTCTTTTCTCCTACAATTTTGGGATTCATGAGCCAGCCACTTTCAATTATCACACAATGATCACCAGATAAAGGTTTAGCCCATCTTACTGCATCCTCCCAATCAGATTTGTTCCCGAGAGCTTCATTCTCCTCAAACTTTGACGACGATGTGTTTTGTGTGCGTCCCTCTGCAAATTCAGCATGGTTTCCCCCTGCGATTGATTAGCAGCATTCTCCTCTTTGAGCTTAAAATGTTAAATCTTGTTAATATATATATATATATATATATATATATATATCTTGATATCAAATTTTTGCAGGTTACAGAATTGAGGAAGGATTACACGAGTTTGATTGTTTTGGAAGGAACAACAGTGCTGCGAAGTTCTATTCTTAAAAGTCAAATGCCTTCCAAGGTAATTTAACTTGATTATAATTCAGACTCCAACTCCATTTTCTATTTGGTTATTCGTTGCAAGCAAAATGAATCAATCATATAAATTGGTGCATGGTTGTGGTTGAGCTTTTACTTAAGATAGAACTTGTGCATCTGATAGTTATAGTAAAATAAGGCAATGATAGTCTCTATGTTCATCTAATTGGTGCTTTGATTGAATTGCAGGACAACAACAAATGCCTTTTAAGGTAAACAAACTTCGTTATAGTTCAGACTCCGTCGCCTCCAAGAAACTGTCACTACGCAGGTAAACCAATGTCCATACCTCTCCTACGGCCACCTGCCAGATGATGAGTCCCAACAACGTCCAAACTCCGTGCTTCTCCTTTGTTCTCTACCGATCAACTTCCGTCTACTTCAGCGACATCCTCATAGTACAAATAATATCTCCAATTTTTAGCAATGCATCTACTCGTAGGGGTGTGAATCGGTCAAACTTGGACCGGACAGGAAGCATATAAGGACTTATTAATGCACCTAGGACCAGACCTAATTACCTATGGACTGGACCGGGCTTGGACCGGTAATATCCAATCCGGCATGGGACCAGCCGAATAAGACACGTTTCGAAATTAGATGTTTGACGACATGCGTAAATGACTAATAGTTTTTTGTTCGTTTTGACCACAATTAGTGCTATATGCATGGGCTGAGCCTCATTCATGACAATAAGCTCTAATGAACGAAGAAAAGAATTTATTTTAAAAAACTAACTTAAAGGTTCTATAAAATTACAGGTGACAAGAATACTTTATTTTATCAAATAATCAGGGAAAACACGTGAATAAACAATGGTTTTCGAGAGATGAAAAAAATGTAATCTATTGCAGGATTGAGGGTGTATGGTAATATTTGGATTGATATGGTGTGCGTGTGTGTGTGTGTGTCATTATACTCCCTCCGTCCAACAATAAACCATTTGTCATCGTCAGCATCGTCAATGCTAATGATGATTCTCCGGCGCTGCTGACGATGACTCTATGGCACGGCAACGATGTCTCTACGGCACCACCGCGAATGACTTCTCTAACTCTTGTTGCCGACATCCCTCGGTAACTCTCCACCCTCATAGATCTGGTTCTGTGGTGAAGGCGATAGGAAACCTTGGCAAGG